ATATATATTATTAATATATATATATATTTGATTTTCAATTTGGATATTTGTGTCATGAATGAATTCTCTTACTTCATTATATCAATGCATAATAGTTGAATACACGTTGATTTGCGGTATATTGCTTGTTGTGAAAGAGCAATTTATGTATATCGAATATTTTTGGAGACTAATAGTAAGATATATACATATTCCATAATTTGTGCTTTTAATTTTAACGATAGAACCTCTCCGATAAACTTTATATTAATTTTAATAAAAAAATATTTCTAAATTTTATGAATTAAATATTCGAGAAAATAAATAGTGTAATGAATTTAAATTAGATATTAAATTAATATTTTCCAGTTAATATTAATATTTAATATGCGAACTCTTTATTTTCATAGAATTTTAATAAATTAATTTTAAATAATTGATTTTAATACTTTTATAGGAATTTAATTTTACGATTACGAAAAGAGGTATATTACAAATCAGAAACTCCAATTAGAAATTAAAGTCTGTCGTTATAATCGAGTCACAAATCGTGGGATATTCTGTATGTACAGCTAGACGATGCAGCTCCGAATTTCTTACCGCATATTTAAACATATTTGCAAAATTAAATTTCTTCTAGAGAAAAATTTCTCCTCCCGTACTTTCATATTGTACAAATGTAATAATAATAGCTCGCCACATATTGCATTATTAGTCAATGCTCGAAATAAAATAATTTGTATATAACTATATAATTATTTTTAGGATTGTGCTTATAAAAGTAAGAGTTTATGATAAAATATGTACGATTTGAAAGAAAGACCTGAAAGCTAATGAATTATTATAATTGTCGAATATGATCAATGTATAAATAAAAGCGATTCTAGCCAAGATATGATATTGCTTTGTTATTTCTTTTATCAATTATTAAAATTATTTACTTCTTGAACTGAGATCGTATTTTGAAATCATATTTAGTATATATGTATATATATTCATATTTCTAGTTATATTTTTTTGTTTATTCGTGCGAAAAAAAGATAACGTAAAATCTATAATTCGAATTCCGCATCTTACTGGACATTACAACATGAAAGAAATAAATATAGCCTGCAGCAATCTTATAGAGATTGCTTTTGTTCCAGATTGTTTTTTTTTTCTTTGATATTTATTTTATAAATTTGAGATACATAGTTTTTATATCATACGTTTATTTATACATATAAATTTGGTATTTATATTGCAAAGCAACATTACGGTTGGGAACAAAAATTATCTGAAAACGGTAAGAATCAATTTTTCTGGGGAGCATTTGTATCTATTACTATTATATGAAAAGTGCACATATTACGATTAGTAAAAATTAAGTGTTGCACAACTTTCTAATTGTAAGAGAATAAAATGAATTATGCCAATTCTAAATGCTCCCGAGTATTAAGCACAAAACTTTACAATTCATATGTTCCAATTATTTGAAAAGAAAAGTTTCATAATTACTATTATTGTACTTAAACGCGCATAACAATTTCGTCATATCTTTCACATTTTTTCTTGTATTAGAATTTCTTGTATTAATTAATACATATTATTTTCAGTATTCAAACATAAAAAGGCGTAGAGAGAAAGAAGAGTAAAGAAAAATGCGAGATTTCCAGGAATAAGTTTAAAGATGGACAAGGAGTTTACGAATGTTAAACGCATTTATAATGGCGCACAATTCAATTATTCTATTTCTGAAAATTGCCCCGAAGACATACGAAAACGGACACACAGTATGCAATATTGACTGCCCGTACATGTGTTTTACAAAATGATCCGAGGTCGTCTAATCACCCCGGATAATGATTCACCTCGGTACAGGAATGTAAGACAACACATTTTACAACATCGTACGTGAAATCAGGAAATTACATCTTATTTAATCATCCATATGTGTGTTATGTGTGTGTTGTTGTTGTTGTTGTTGTTGTGTGTGTGTGTGTGTGTGTGTGTGTGTGTGTGTGTGTGTGTGTGTGCGCGCGCGCGCGCGTGCGTGTGTGTGTGTATGCATACTTATAAACTTGTCCATTTTTTTTTCTTATAAGAGTCACTTCCACTTTATAAAATATTAGAACGAAATGATCCTCCTCTAACTTAGTTAACGACCACCTGTTTGTTCTTGATATACTTCAATGACATCATCATTTTCCATTTCCAGCTGAAATTAATGGTTTCTCTTTCATTAATAAAACCTTCAATATTATAATTCAAAATATTAATAAATGTGTAACACTGAAATATTGATTATTTATATAAGTAACTATTTATATATGTAGGTGAGTCAATAAGTTTAATTCATATTACTTCGATTTTTGAGGACAAATTAAGATTACTTATTGACTTGCTTATTGTGTAAATAGAAAATTAATTATTTCCCTAATTTACATTTAATATAATAAATATATATATTTCTTAGATAAATTTTAAATCCATCTTTTAAAATATCACAAATATTTAACAAAAGTATACAACGAACATTACTGATACCAATTAGAAAATAAAATTTTTACTTCGGCAAAGTAAGATTTCATTTACTTGTCACAACCGATTCCGAACGTGAACTATAAAATTAATTTACCTGCTTTGGTGTTTCGTCATCGTTGATTCTTTTACCATCAAAAAGAAACCTAAGCGATGTCATAGGTACACCCTAAACAAAATTAGGAATATTATCGCGTGAGTAATATCAATAATCAATTTAAGCTTATTCAGAATAATTGGTTCAGCCGTTATTGAGATCTAGTAATTTCAGGTCTGTTGTTTTCAGCTGAATTTCTTACATCGTTCATCTTTTCTCTTTTTTCTCTCCATAGTGCAAAAAATTCAGCTGAAAAAATAAGTCCCGATTGCTCATAATTTACTGGCTCGCATATGACTCTCGTTGCGTAAACTATTTAAGTGCTTAAAAGAGAAGATAGAATACGCGCTTATATTAGTCGTCTAGAGGTTCTAATCGGAGTCTGATCATAAGAAGGGATCCGATATTTTTCTTCAAAATTGTATGAGTGAGAAAAAATATATTTTATCTCGTTCTACAGTTATGCAACATAGAGAAAGACGTGTTCAAAGATATGTAATATCTCAGTTTGACTGAAGCGAATTTGAAAAATATCGAACTAATCATTAGTTGCTATCTCACGGTCACGGGTACTTTCTAGGGTGCTTTCAGGAATTCAAGGCATATTATTTTATTCTTGCCGTTTGCTAAATGTTAAACAATAAATCCGTTTTCTGTAATTGAATTAGTGCACACTTTTGGAACTTAAAGTGATACAGAAACATGTTCGATATTTAACAAAAATGAGAGAGCGTTCTAGTGCTGTTTTAGCATAAGAATAAAAAAAAAACAAATCTAAGGCTGAGTCTACAATAAGTCCGTATAGTGTGATCGGTGAGTTGGAAGTGAGTCTAAAGAAGAATTGGTGAGTCAGGATTGGTCAAAATAGATGAAATAGTAGAGTTGGCCAGCAATCAACTTCTAAAATTACCAATTACTGACTCATTGTAGACCTGGACTAAGGATAAAATGATACCCAAGTGCATCCAGATGAAATTTCTGAATGCAGCCCAAGGGATCCATTCCATATCTTGAAACAAAATGAAAATTACAAAAGAGCAAATTAGAATAATTATAATTTCGTTGGTCAACACCTAGTAAATTTGCTTACTTTTGTCGTTTTCACTGTGTTTCAAAATATAGAATGCCTTCCAACAAGAGACATACATGGCACAATGAGACACCAACTACGTTTACATGGCTCGATTTACGACAAAGTTATAACATCGATGTTATAACTTCAGCGTAAATCAAGCCGTGTAAACATAATCATAGTGAATCATTATATTCTTATTGTTTGCCAATGTTAAACAAGGATAAGATGATTACTGTGTTATACTGAATCATATATTGAAAAACACCTATAGAATTGACTTCCAGATTAGAGGATCTCTTGGCGCCAAGACATTATTGCCTGCTGATTGCATTCAACTGAACATCAGAAAATACATTTTGTAATCTAATACAAGAAATTTTGTAAATTACGTCATAAGTTGGAATAATTATTTTCTGAACAATATTTAGAAATAGCAAGAATGTTATCATCAAATGAGGATGCAACCACAACAGAAGGAATAAAGAATTAGGAATAAAGATCTATCAGAAATCAGATACACCAGAATACACGGTTTCTGATAAGTTGGAATCATTACTCCTTATTCCTAATTCCTTATTCCTTCTATTGTGGCTGCACCCTAAGAATTATCAATCCTCAAAATTCTGGCGTTACAATTATGAAGTTATTGGAAATGCGCTGGTATACTGAAACAAAGCTTCTAGAATACCTATTTCTTCATTAGCTCACGTTCTTATTGCGTTACTTTGATAAGTTAGTTAAAACTCCACATAGAGAATGAGATATGATGTACGCGATCAAAAGATAACAAACGAGGGGACTCACCACACGATCACTGTAGGACTTCTTTAGCTTGCCCATCTGAGTGGTCATCTTTACCCTAAAGTGAATCTCGTTGCAGTCCTGGAAGAAAAAATAGATCTAATGTGCCTTGCGCGCGCGCGCAATAATTAATGTTTTTAGCATGTATTACTTACATTTCCAACAACTTTAAGCTTAATGTATTCTGAGTTCGCGTCGCCAGGGCCGGCTTCGGGTTTTTGTTCCTAGTAGCACACGACAAGGTTAGAGCGCTAGTTCATTCAAACTTACGGCAAAGTTCGATTCGGGATATCCCGGTGAACTAATTGCCGCCGGCCGCGGCCGCAGCCGCGAAAGCGCCGCGGCGAGTCACGGGAACGCCAATCGCGCGTACCGGGGCTGCTTACCTGATTGTCGGACATCGTTATCAATTAAATTACAACAAACTTCTTCACCACGCGCCAGAAAATGCTAACCAAACACAGATCGCAATATGGCGCCGAGTTTTTGTCAGTTTCCACCGTCTATTCCACTTCTTGTGCCAGGAGCGAACGAAGAACCGTAACGGTCGACCGTTCACAAACTTATTCAATTTTTTCTCGCGACGCGAATGAAGTTAGGTTAGGCTAGTTAAAGTTAGGCTAGGTATCGTATTAGGCCGGAATCAGATTACGCATTGAAGATTGAGGTCGAAGATGAAGACTGAAATTTGACCAATAAGGACAAAGAAATTTTAGCTCCTTTCGTTTCGATTGGTCAAATTTAAATTTTTCATCTTCAATCTCAATCTTCAAAGCGTAGTCTGATTCCGGCCTTATGGCTGCATTCGGATGCCTTCTCTCTCTCGATGCCTCGGATTCATCATCTGTCCTCGTTTAACATTTAATGCTAATGAAGGACAGATGATGAATCCGATAGAGACACTATAATAAGAGACTGGCATAAGCCTAGTTGGATAAAAAATGGCGTTCACAGAACGATAAGTCATAGGACGCGTTCGCAACTAGGACGGAAAAACAGAAAAAGTAGGAAAGCAGAAGCCAATCAGAATTCGGGCTATACTATCATCTATTATCAGTACGACTTTTGATTGACTTCTGCCATTCGATATCCAGCCAATCAAAAATTAGTCCATCTATGCCAGTCTCTTATTATAGGGTGCTTTCCAATTGCTAAACACATCTTGACACAAAAACGTACACAGGAATGCATAAAGTGTAAAGGCCATCACACGTATAAAAATTTTAGTCGTAATCGTAAAATCGTAAGCAAATCGGCCAATCACAATCGAGCGTATAAAAACGCGGATCTTAATTTTTATTGTGATTGATCGATTTGCTTGCGACCTTACGATTCCGACTAAAATTTTTGTACGTGTGATGGCCTTAACGGTGTGTATGACTCAATTGGAACAGCGGTTTCGGATAGAATAAGGTTAATTTTTTAGTACATGCATAACGAAAAATTCGCATCAATTTGAGTCC